GGTGGTGAGAGTCCTGGCTGCACCACTTCCAATCCTGCTCCCTGTTAATGGCCTGGGAAAGCAACGGAAGATGGCCCACATGCTTAGGCCCCTGAACCCAATGGGTGACCCGGAAAAAGCTCCTGGCTCCTGGCTTCAGATTGGCCCAGCTCTGGCTATTTTGTATCCATTTGGGGAGTGAACCAGCAGATGGAAGATTCTCTCTCTCTCTCTCTCTGTCTTCTCTGTCTCTCCCTCTTTCTCTCTCTGTAACTCTGCCTTTCAAGTAAACAAATAAAATTTTTTTAAAAAATAAGAAGTGCAAAAATAGACTGTTTCTTATAGGGAGAATTGTGAGCATTTGTGCAACTTACTATGACATCAGTTGAAATCCAAAGACAGAATAATAGAAATAAGCAAAACGGAGAGGAGAGGATGGATACAAAAGACATGTAAGTGTTGGACCCACCAAGACTTCTAGTGAGTGAAGGAGAAGCAATCAAAGACGACTATGGGGTTAGATTTCCAGTTTAGGTAAATGAATAGAAGTGAAGCCACGAACTAAACACTGGAATACAGGGTGGGGTGTAGGGGGTTGGTCTCTTGGAGGAAAGAGGTAGATCTGAAATGGACTTCAGATTATTGAACAGAGAGGAGGCATTATAAGATAGAAGACACAGCAAAAGCAAGATCTTGAAGATAGAAATCACATGACCTTGGTCAACCTCAACCCTCTGCCCTGGACAGCTGGCCTCCTCTTCAGCTGCTCTGTCTGGCTTCTGCTGTCTGTGGGCGCTCCCTTACCCCTGACATGTTACCTATGGTTTTATCTTTGCTTCTCTTTTTTCTGCACATTTGCCCTGGGAATCTCATCTAATTTTGCAACATCAACTCCCTCCTAGTCCGTGATGACATCCCGATCTGCATTTGTAGCTCTGACCTGTGACCTCTAGACCACAGTTCCCCATGAACTCTTAGACATGTCTGGCTATATAGCCTCTAAGTCTCAATGCATTCAAAACTGAACCTATTTTCATGCCCAGAAGCCCTGATCTTTCTCCTGTATTCCTGGTTTTAGCTCATGGCTTCATTTCCACTCAGTAAACTAATTGGAAATCTAAGCTCGTGGTCACTATGGATTGCTTCTCCTTCACTCACTTCAAGTCCTGGAGTGTCCATCTCCTACCTTTGTATCCATTCCCTGCTCTCCATTATCACAGCATTGCCGGACTTCCTGCCAAATCCACTTAACTAGTTTCCCTCAAACATGCACAGTTTCACCTTACTCCACCCCATCCCCAAGCTTTATAAAAACCCAAGTTTATGCAGGTCACTCCTCTTCTTAAAAATGTACGCCAGCCCCGCAGTGCCTCTAAAGCTAGATTTAAGCCCCGAAGCCTGATTTACCAAGTGCTGAGCAATTCGACCCCACCTGATTTGACCAATGTCGTTTCCTGTCACTCTGCCTCACCCCATCTCCCTTTTCTCCAGCATCACTGAGCTCTGATTATTCCCCTGCCCTTGTGCAACCCTGGGCCTTACCCCACGTTGTTTACTCTTCCTGGAGTGCCCGCCCCCACTCCTCCATCTGCTAAATTCGTATTCATCACCTGTAGATCATACTTCTGTCATTTCCCTTCTGATGACCTCCCTGGCCATCCAGACTTAGTCACTTCTTTTGTGTTCCTGTAACCCTTTGCCCCTTCCTTAGGCAGCGGCCAGCATTTCCACTTTCGTGTGCTTAACCTCTTCTGAAAAACCTACACTACGCTAGCAAATCTGTAGCTCCGTGAATTCCACCTTTTGGAGAAGAACCCAGAGAACACAAGTTTTCCTTGCTGCTAGGGGGCAGATAAATGGCCCTGGATCTTCCAGTCTGATGTATTTGCTAGAGCTTTTTTTTTTTTTTTCTTCCAGAAGTGAGCAATCTGTGTGCCAGGGAGGTAAGGCAGGAGACTGTTCTCCTGGCAAGATTGATCTGGAGTGGCAGAGCTGCTGGTACGGTGCCCCTGGTGCTGGGGGATCATGAGAGCGAGGTTTGCCTGACCAGCCTTCTGCAGCTGGGAATGTTTGCATTTCAGAGTCTGGCTCTTCAGCTGTTCTTAGATAGTCTGTAACCCACCTAATATCCCTTGACAAATTCACTTACTGCTTAGATAAGTCTGAGTGGATGTGTTTTTGCAATGAGTGAAAATAACATGCCTGAAATACCCTGGTTAGGACACTTATCAAATATTATTATATGCATTTGCATAGGTGTCTGACCGCCATAGCAGATAAATCTCAGTAGCTATGTCTTACCCTCCCATGCATCGTTCTAATTTCTTGAATAATTCAAGGCATAGTTGTTGTGCCATGCACTATGCTTACCTTTGGGGATATAATAGTGAAAAAGGAGACATGTGACCTTGGCTCTGATGAAGCATGCTGTCCAAAAGATCTGTGCCTGCAGCATGCTACATGTCCAAGGGAGTGAGTCCCCAATTCATTGCATTAATTGTTTCAACTAATGAGTCTTGTGTCTTGAAGATATAAACGAGAAGTGTCCTTACATTTCTTTCTGGCTAAAAGGAGACACGGATGCGTAAGTTTCATGCAATGTGAAAAGTGTGATTGAAGAAATCACATTCCTGATTCCCTGGTGGCACAAAGAAAGGGAGGAGTGAGGTTCCTGCTGGGCAGCAGCAGGAAGGAAGACTTCCTGAGTGTGCAAATATGGAAGCCAGTGTGCACAAGACTTCCTCTCCATTTCCCCTTTCTTCTCTTTCCCCTTTCTTGTTATTTCCTTTGCCTTTTAGGCTTCCACTAAAAGGCAGCTTTATAATGAATTTTTAATGACCACTCCCCTTCCTCCCTCTCCAATTACCAGCCAGGGTTAGTAACATCTCCAGTCTCCTCCAGTGCCCTGGGCAATACCCCTGCTGATTCTTCTAGCCTTCATTGTAATCACCTCTGTGTCTGCCAGGGATGCCCATCAGCCAGATCCTGGCACAGGATGTTGAATAAATGTTTCTGGAGGGAACAGGAATGCAAACTGCGGTAAGAGACTACCATCTTCACACGGGAGTGGCCACAGTGATAAGGACAGATAATTTCAAGTGTTGATGAAGATGTTAACAAATGAGGGAATTTCAAATATTGCTGGAAAGGTTAGAAAATGGGACAACCCTTTGGGGAAACTGTTGGCACAATTCAATAAAGTAGACATATGTGTGCCTTGTTACCCAGAGCCTGAACTCCTGGGTGTGTATGTGTGTGTGTGTGTCTCCAACTGAGATGAATGTTCATATTTATAATTATAACAGTTTTATCCATAATATTCCCAGAGGGGAAACAACTTAAATGTCTACCCACAATAGAGTGTTAAGTAGGGGCCAGTGCCATGGCATAGCAGGTAAAGCTGCTGTCTGCGACACTGGCATCCCCTATGGGTGCCAGTTCCAGTCCCGGCTGCTCTACTTCCTATTCAGCTCCTTGCTAATGGCTTGGGAAAGCAGTGGATGATGACCCAAGTTCTTGGGCCCCTGCACTCACAGGGGAGACTTAAATGATGCTCCTGGCTTTGGCCTGGCCTAGCCTGGCTGTTGCGGCCATTTGAAGAGTGAACCAGTAGATGGAAGATTCTCCCTCCCTCTCTTGCTCGATAACTCTGCCTACAAATAAATAAATAAATCTTAAAAAAGAATGGATAAGTGAATTTTGTTATGTTCATATCACAGAATAGTATCTAGCCTTTTTAAAAAAGAATGCTAAGCTATAATAGGTATTATTTTTAAAGACTATATTAAGTCATACACAAAAGAATACTTATTGTCATTGTACTCCAGTGAAGTTCCAGGAGAGGTAAAGTCGTCTCTGGTGAGAGCTGTTGAGATGATGGCCAACTTTCACAGGAGGAAGGGGTAACGCCGTGAAAGGGAACAGATATTCCTGCAATCCTGGAAAAGCTTTGTATTTTTACAATGGTATGTTCACAAGTCACATACAGAAGGATTTTCTAGGACAATATCAATGTCCTTCATTAAAAAACATTGTACTCCCCAGCCACATAAATGTTGGTGCATTCTTAAGGGTGCATAGGTTCTATACCTCTGCAAAAGTGTAAATTAAAAATAATTAATAAAAAGGAATGAGTGAGTGAATGAATGAATGAAATGGATCGTCAGAGAGAAAGAAAAGAGGAAAGTCACAAAGGAAGAAAGACTTGTACTGCACTGAATTTTTAAGCAGTGCTTGGTTCTCGAGCTCTTTACACTGTGATCATGCCTGAAATAATCATCCACATCCTTTCTTTGCTGACATCGGTTGCCTTTGCTGTTTGATGGTGAGGTTTAGGAATGACAGTCATTACCAGCAAAGCAGAATGTGAGCACCTCCTGGCACACTGAGTGATCTAAGAAGTCCTTTTGGAACTGGGGACTATGGCTAGTGCTGTTTTTTTTTTTTTTTTATCTTTTTGTGCTGCATGAGATGCAAGAATTAATTATTCAAATTCTCGAGAAGGGGGGGGAGCTGGCCATTGCCCTCCGTGTTGACTAATGGGGACAGAAGCCACCCAGCACATGACATTGCTCAACTCAACCTAGGAGCAGAGAAGAGTCCTTATTGCCGGGCGGCCCGGCCATGGATGTACCACTCCCTTCCTTCTCCAGTCCGGGCTCATGGCTAAACGGCCACTCACCCGCCAGCCTGGGAGAGGTCCAGGGCGGTCAACAACCCCCGGGGCGACCAATGCCCAGTGCACGCCTTGGCTGCTAACTCCTAACCCAGAGCGGGGTCCGAAGGCGCATTTCCCAGCGCGGCCAGTAGGTGTCGCTGCCCGAGGGGGGTCCTATCCGCCCCCACCTGGGGCTGCCGGCGCGCGCCTCCTCACCTGGACTCGCGCCCCTGGCTGCCCGCGCCGCGCGGGTGCGCTGTGTGGTGACCGGGCCTCGGCCTCCGCCCCGGGAGCTCGGGCTGCGCTCGGCCCTGGCCCTCCAACCCTCTGCCGTCCCCCGCAGCGGTGACGAGGGGGCGGGGTCCGACGGCGCTTCGGGAGAGGCGGGCGAGGTGGCTCTCAGGTGTGTTCTTCCACAAGGGCCGGCCGACCGACTAGACAGCGTCCGAGCCGTGGGAGAAGGAGGCGGACGAGAAGATGCCGCTGTCGTCGCCCCCGCCAGGCGACCCCAGGGAGTCCAGCCCGTCCAAGGCCCCCAAGAAGCACGCCACCTTCCACATCTGGCGCTCTAGAAAGAAGCAGCAGCCTCCGCCGTCCGACTGCGGGGTGTTCGTCCCGCACCCGGCGCCCGCGCCCGTCGGCGAGGACAGGTAAGCTCCGTGCCCGGAGCGCTGCACTCTGGCACCCTTCCTGGCGCTGTCTAGGGCCGCGCTGACCCGGGGGTCTTCGCCGCCGACGTCACCCGGGGTGCGTTTCACCTAGCAGCAGGGTCCCGGGGTCCCCAGGGGCGCGGTCGGGGCCGCTGCAGGTTACCAGGTTCCTCGAAGCCCCAGCGAGAGGGCGTGCGCCCACCCAGGTGGCCTGCGTTTTGACCTGCGAGGGTCTCCACCAGGGTGGTGAAGGGTGATGACCGTAAGGAACGCTGTGATGATAGTACCTGGTCGGGAAGACCCCCACTCAGAGGCAGCGCGCTTCCGCCAACGCCCCAGGCCACGAGTGAGGCAGCAGGAGCAAGTGGCGCAGGTGATTAGCCCTGTGTTCTGAGTGGAGACACTGAGACCCAAGGGTAAATGGCGTGTCCCCGCGGGAGTCAGTGGCAGAACCAGCCAGCAACAGTGCACTCAACCTGTAATCGCCATTGCGCCCTTCCATTTTTTCATGATTTTTGTATTGGTGTTATTCTATTTGTATAATTGCCCAGTTATATTATCAGACTTGCTTCCTCAAGTGGATAGTAATTGATTTTGTAGTTTGGAGGTGTAGAATATTTTTTGTGATGGACAATTGACAATGCCCAGTACCTTCTTTCTGAATGTGTTTGTAACATATGATGTACAGTCATGGCTAGAATAATACTTTTGTTCAAAATTTACATTTAGACATTTTACTTTTATTTCTAAAAAATTTTAATGTTTCAATCTATTTAGATTTTTAATTAATCGTTATTTATTTGAGACGCAGAGAACACAGAATCTTCCATCCACTGTTTCACTCCCCAAATGCCCAGGACAGCTGGTACTGGGCCAGGCAGAAGCCAGGAACCTGGAATTTAACCTAAGTCTCCCGTGTGAGTTGCAGGGATCCAAGTACTTGAGACATCGCGGCTGCCTCACAAGGTGCACATTAACACCAAGCTGGAATCAGGAAAGGAGCCAGGATGGGACAGGTGTAGTAACTGCTAGGCCAAACACCTGTCCCTGCAATCTATATTGATTTAATACAAATTCTGGGGCTGGCTCTTTGGCTTTTTAGGTTAAGCCTCCACCTGTGGCGCCAGCATCCAATATGGGCACCGATTGAAGACCTGGCTGCTCCACTTTTGATCCAGCTCCCTGCTAATGGCCTGGCAAAGCAGTGGAGGATGGCCCAAGTGCTTGGACCCCTGCACCTGTGCGTGGGAAACCCGGAAGAAGCTCCTGGCTCCTGGTTTGGGATTGCCCCAGCTCTGGCCATTTTGTGGCCATTTGGGGAGTGAACCAGTGGATAGAAGATCTTTCACTGTTAACTCTGCCTCTCAAATAAATACATAATTTTTTGAAAGATTTTATTTATCTGAGAGGCAGAGTTGTACAGAGAGGCAGAGGCAGAGAGGGGGATCTTCTATCTGATGGTTCATTCCTGAAATGGCTGCAATGGCCGAAGCTGATCTGAAGAGGAGCAGCCAGGTCTTGAAGCGTCAGCTATATGGGATGCTGGCACTGCAGGTGTTGGCCCTATAAATAAGTCTTTAAAAAAATATTCTATCGAGGGGTGGGTATTGTGGCATAGCAGGTTAAGCTATGCTATCCGGCATCCCACATGGACACTGGTTGGAGTCCCTGCTGTTTCACCTCCAATCCAGCTCCCTGCTAAGGTGCCTGGGAAAGCAGCAGCAGATGACTCAAGTACTTGGACCCCTGCACCCACACGGGAGACCTGGGTGAAACTCCTAGCTCCTGACTTCTGCCTGCCCAGCCCCAGTCATTTCAGCCATTTGGGGAGTAAACCAGTGGATGGAAGGTCTCCCCTTCTCTGTAACTCTGCCTTTCCAGTAAATAAATAAATACTTAAAAAATTCTATTGAGCACCTTAGCTAAATGCCGGGTATTAAAACACACACACATACAAAACAGCAAGAGAAAATAACAATTCTCAGTCATCAAGGAATCCCTAGTCTTTGGCGGGGACCAAAATGTAAATGGTGGGCAGAGAAGTGCATCTGGCGAGGCTTCTTGGAGGAGGTTCACAAAGAGGCTTTGTTTCTCCCACAAAAGGGCAGGAGCAGCAAGTTCCAGGCACGGTTTGCTCCCTTGAGCATCACAGCCACTCGAGCGAGACACCTCCGGAGAAGCACTGGTTCTGAGTTTGTGTGAAGAGGCAGAGGACAGAGTGCTGAGAGAGACAGCATTGTATTTTTTCCCCATATTTTATCATCCAATCCACAGTGGTAATCAGTTGCAGTAGAACATATTCTTAATTGATGCAGACACTTAATGTGCTTCATTGTGGATTGGACTTTGGAACAAAATTGGTTATTCAGTAATGATGTGCCCAATATCGAAGTACCTTTCCTATTACCTCTACAGATATTTTTAATGTCGCCATTGTGGTTTTTCTTATCTGACCTTGTTCCATTATTTTCTTTCTACCCAGTTGTTGTGTATGATGCACAGCTGTGGAAAATTTACTCAAATGCAAATACATTTTCATCTGAAACTTACAATAGGAGCCTTTGCTCCTCTCCTTGAGCTCCCTGTATCTTAGCTGAGTCTTTTATTTATTTTTTAAAGATTTATTTATTTACTCGAAAGGCAGAGACACAGAGAGAGGAGAGAGAAAGAGGATGAGAGCTTCCATCCTGTAGTTCACTCCCCAAATGGCCACAATAACCAGGGCTGGACCAGGCTAAAACCAGGAGCCAGGAGCTTCTTCCAGGTCTCCCACATGGGTGCAAGGGTCCAGGGACCTGGGCCATCTTCTACTGCTTTCCCAGGACATAGCAGAGAGCTGGATCAGAAGTGGAGCAGCCAGGACTCGAACAGGAGCCAACATGGGATGTCGGCGCTGCAGGTGGAGGCTTAGCCTACTACACCACAGCACCTGCCCCTCAGTCTTGAAGCCCTTCATTCTTTTCCTTCAGAACTACAATGAACTTTGTCCTAACAAATACTCCTACAACTAAACCTACTGGTCTGTCTTTGGGATGTTTTTCTGGTTAGATCATCTTCATAAATATTTCACTTACTTCTGAGAGAGAATGTGCTGGTAAAAGCGGAACAAGACACCTTGGGCTTTGGTCAGCCTTTGGCCACTGTACATGTCTTGAGCCACCTGACTGTGCCCTTCAGTTCTGTCCAGGTCTTGGTGGTGATGGAACTTGGCTGTAGTGTGCAGCATTCACTGTGGCCTTTGTATTTAAGGAAGGGACAATTGGGTGAGCACACTGATTTGCTGGATATATATATAATTTGTATTATGCTTTTAGATCAGACAAAAATGAATTTATGTGCTGGCTCTGTGACCTTGGGAAAGTTACTTCACCTCCCTGGTTCTGTCTCCTCATTTGCAAAGTGGCGCCAATAGTTAACAGTGACGCTAATGTTTATGTTATTCAATATAAAACCCTTATCACACTTCTGGAAAGAAAGCAAAAAAATCAGTAAATGTAAAAGCATCCTGCTCCTCACCATCATGATTATCATCTTCATCATCATTATCATAAAAGGACAGATCTAATGGAAAGAATGGGAAAAGAATAAAATTGAATGGGGGAAAATGCTTCTACTCCTAGGAACACTTACCATTCCAAAGGTAAAGTTTACAAGTACCAAATTTTTGTATTTTGTAAATATTTAAGGGTTTGAATGTGGGTGTTCTAAACACCAATCATTCTTTATATAAAATAATTCAGACATGGCCGTCTGTCTTCCTAGTGTTCACTCTTACAGTTTTTTTGCAGCTTGGTTTTGGTAAACTTGTTACCGCAGTGTCGTTCTTTGTAGAAGTCGTGCCTCCTGGGTCAGTGCACGGCTCTCTTGCCATCACAGGGCTCAGTGGTGTGCGTGGGGAGGGCCCTGAGGGCTGTGACCAGACCCCCACCCCAAGCAGCCAAACACCATTGCTTTTCGCATTTAGAATTCTATTCCATTTTGCAAACTGTTCATTGGGAGGGCGGATTCCGTGCTTGGGTTTAAATCCCTGTTCTCCTGCTCACTCTGACACCTGGTTCTGTCATCCTGGGCAAGGTATTAACCTGTTTGTGCCTCAATTTCCTCAACCACAAAATGGGAGTAATGAGTAATGAAAACAAGTTCATACACCCAGAGCAGTGACTCGAGAGGTGGGAGCCGTTTCCGTTCTGCTCACTGACAGCTTGCCTGTGCCTCCTTTGGGTGGAGTCACGTGTTTTTCTGCCAGATGATGGAAATGGTACTCGCTGTTTGTTTCCCCTCTTCCCACCACCCAGTGTTGCTTTGATTAGAAAGGGGCTCTCAGCTAAAGGTCAAATGCCAGTGAGCTCAGCGTGGTCACCTTGGGTGGACTCGAACCCTAACCTGGAAGCAAGCACTAATGTTCTGTGCAAGAGCCGAACGCCAGTGGAGCGTGGGCCTTGTAATCCTCTGCAGTCAGCTGGACCATGTTTGAGTGGCAAGGAGAGTGCAGCCAGGGCCTGAGGGCAGAGCATCCTGGCTGGGCAGGGGGACCCCACCTGGGAGTCAGCAGGAGCAGGCTCAGGTTTCCAGGCTGTAGACAGTCCCTTGGTTTTTCTGTGCTTGAATGGACTTTTCCCTTCTGTTAGGGGAAAACAACTTGTTCTCTGTTTCTGCCATCAGAACGCTGTGAGGATTGTTATTTGGAAGGCTTGTTTCTCCTTCAGGAAAAGAACACGCATTTAAGCATGTTACCTGAAGGCATCTTAAACCCAGAGGGTTAGACTTCTTAACATGAAAGTTATTGTAATTTTTAGTCTTTTGTGGCTTAGTGTTCGGAACGCTAAACAGGTTTGATTATTCTCCAACACAAAGGGATTTAGCCAGGTAAGTCTATTTTTGTTTTGTCCAATGTTAGATTTCAGTGGGTTGATCCTGGGTTAGTTCCCTTATTTTCCTTTGCTGAAGGCAAGAGTTTACACTTGTTTTATTTCACTACTGATAAACTTGGATTCTTTTAA